TAAGTACACTTCTAAGTCTTAGTGCACAGCTATTCAGAATTGCCCAGATATTGTTTTTAAATCGTTCAGAGAACAGGAAATATTTTTTGTTTGTTTTTGTGTTTTAACTTTCAGCCAGGAAAGAATTAGGAAAGGCCATTTCTGAAAACGTGGCAGGCTTGGGCTTTTGGTTTCATAACCCAACATGTTGTGCTGCGTCAGCAGGTTATTGAGAAGATAATACTGTGTCTTTATAGTATAGTATTTTTAAATGCTTGCTTTAACTTTATGTAACATTTTAGCTTGGTTCTTTATCTTTTTCCTTTCCCTAAATTCTTTGTATAGTAATTTTTAATCTTTGATGTGAAGAAAGTATCATAGTCTTCCATACTTTCATATATAAATCTTTATATGTATATACATGCAACATTTTATGTGTAGTTTTAGAGTATCTGATGATCCAAGATTCATTATTTAACCTTAAAGCCAAATTCAAGTATCTGAAGTCTTAGGACATTAGATTAGGAGAAATCAATCAATCATTCTGTGCTTCTGATAACACACCATTCATATCTTATCTCTCTTGCTGTCATGTTGTATTTACCTTTTCTGTTCTGGATAGACTCTCTCTCTCTTTTCCCATTGTGTATCAATCACACAGAACAAAATAGAGGCAATGTATGTTGCCCTTAGAGATTCATTAAGTAATTGAATGGATTAGAGTGATCTGTAAAATTCCATGGGAATAAGTGCCAGTTCTGTTTGTACTGGCTATTATGTACCCAGCTCCTAACAGTGCCTGGCACGTCTAGGGGATTTTGTAAATAATTGTTTTGTGAACACTGAGAGACTTATTTCTATTCATTCGAAGTGATTGGCTGTAGATGTTTTGTGAGATTTTGTGGCCATGTGTAGGGGGTTTTATGCCAACACAATCTTTGATGCAAAACTTCAAAAAGTAGTCCCGATTTTTCAGACTTAGTTTTGTGGATTCATTCTTTGTATCCTTAGCTCCATTTTCTCTACCCACCCTACAATCCATTACTCAATATCTTATATTCCATACACTAATTCTCCTTTATATATTCCATTGGCTCTCAACTCCATGCCTTGTGTCTTGGCTTAGTTTTGAATGTATTTTTGCCACGTAATGCACAGTTCTTGAGCATGTACATTGAGGCCAGGTATTAGGCAAGCCGCTATTACACAGGTTGAGGACTCGCCCACCTTTCCTGTATGGAGTTCATTTCAAAAAAAGGAAATGAAATACAAGCAGAACATTATTGTGTAATAATTTAAGTCATAATATTGGGGGAAAATATTACGACAGGGACGGTAAATTCTTCATGCATGTTCCTGTATTTCTCACCCGGATCCCACTCCTACATAATTTCTACCAATAATCTGTTTAACTTTTAAAGATTCAGTCTGAATCTCCGTTGTTAAGTTTTTCCAAGTGCTTACTCTTTGGTCTTCTCACACTTTTGTGCCCCAGTATGTCTTTCATTGTATTTGTTGCAGTTATCTGCTAGGCAGTTTATACAAATGAATTAGGCACCATGTCCTTTCCTTTTTACATAATTCTTATTGTATATTTCTCAAATGAAAATACTCATCTTTATGATGTCATAAGATTGCTTCACTTGTACCCTTTGAAGCCCCCACATCATTTATTTGTGCTCAAAAATCTCAAAATCATTTCTTGTGCTGTTCGTTACCTATTTGTTGCAGTCAGTTGCCATGGTGATCGTTGTGTGGTTGTAAAGTTGCTCTTCTATTTGACCTCTCTTTTTTGAATTCAGAATGAGGAAGTGATGGGTCACCTTGATGGATTGTAGCTTTTCTCGTCAGGCAAGTGCTTGCTCCATTGCTGAAATCCACTTACTGTTAAATAATGTCTTGTATGTGGAAACATTTTTCTATACTTAGGTCATCTAGCCCTTTTACATGATTGTTTTCTTCTGGAATTCACACAAAAGATTGTGACATCACCATAAAATTTGCTGGACTTATTTGAAATATTAGTTTGTGTTTGTCAGGTACATTTGCAAGAGGTAGAAGAAAATGGGACTAGAAAGAGAAGGAATGTGAGAAGGAGCGAGAGAGAAAGCGAGAGCACTAGCTAGGTTTTAGAGGCTAGAACTGATGAATGTTGACAATTCAATATTAGCCTAAAACTACTCCCACAATACATGTGAACATTGGCATGTAAAATATTTCCTTTCTTTTCTTTCTAAACTGCTATAAGCCTGGAAGGTTTAAAGCAGCTGACAAGTTCTTTTCAGCACATTGTTAAAAAATGATTATTAATGGACAATTAGGTAATAATGACCGATTTATCATCTGAAAAGTGTTTTTCCAGTTTACACTGATTGGACAAATTAACCTGATTTAAATGGTATGGCTGCATGAATACTATTAACACTGAGACTGGTTTCCCCATGGCACAGGTTGAGAGCCACCTGACCGAGTTAGGACACATGGATCTGGTGTGGTAGTTCAGTGGCTAAATCCTTGGTGGGCATGTGCCACTTCCCCTCTAGCTCCCTGGGAAAGCAGTAGAGAATGTTTCAAAGCTTTGGGACCCCACACATGTGTTGGAGACCTGGAAGAGGCTCCTGGCTTTGAATTGGCTCAGTTCTGGCTGTTGCGGCCACTTGGAGAGGGAGCCAATGGGGAGGTCTTTTTCTCTGTCTCTCCTCTCTGTAAGTCTGCCTTTCCAAGAAAAATAAATATATATTTTTTTAAAAAAGAAAGTGTTTAAGAATTAGGAGACAGTATCAGCTGTGGTCTTCCCCTTTTACTTATGGAATTCTTTAATTACTGGAGGATTAAGCTTGTGATTATGAGGTAAATGGAAATTTTGATATCCCCTAAGTGAAAAAGAAAAATAAGAAGGAGGAGGGTGGCTTGGAGGAAGTAGAAGTTCTATTATGGTCATAAAATTGTGTGTATGAGATGCATAGAATCAATTATATTTACATGGATCAATTGATTTTAAAAATGTCAAGGATTTTGAAACAAGTAAAATAAGTTCCCATTGCAGCTTCCGTACTGCCTTGCACTCTTACACCACAGTGGCTTAACCTCACGGGCCTTTGTTCTCTCACCTCTAATATTAAAGCATTATAAGCTTCATAACTGGGATGAAGATGATGAGAGGTAATAAAATATATGTTAAGTGCGTGGCTCAATAAGATTTTTACAACCTCAATTCCCTGATGAGTATGTGTTGGTTTTCAGAACCTAGGGCGAGGGCTCTACTTAGCCATTTGGAAAACTGAGTTTCAGATTTGTATTGTGATGTCTAGAATATGCCTTTGTTTCGTTCTTTTTCCATTTGTGCAGCTAGAGCATATTTATTGTACATCACTGCTATTAAAGAATATGTAGGGGGAAAGAGAAAAAAAATTTTTTTTATATTCATGATAGAGTTCCACAGGCTCAGAGTTTCCCTTTTCACCTGCCCCACTTTTGAGCTGTTTAAACGAACAGTGCCCCAAGAATGAAAAGCAGTTCCAAAGATGTTTGAACTTAATTTAAGCAAAATCCGATGAAAATTAATCGTAGGATCAGAGATTTGTTTTTGCCATTATACTTTTTGCTAATGCAAGGGTTTTGATTGTTTTGCTAATGTGACAAATGACCAAAAGTACTGCCTGTTCCAACAGAGGAAACATTGCTAACATGGATTAAACTGTGCACACACCAGCATCCTCTTCATCATCTCCATGAGGCTAAACTTCAGTGCTACTGTTGAAAGACATTCCCTGCAACAAAGACTTTCTAAATATGCATCTGAGTGTAACACTCACATTTCAAAATGCATAATTAGAAACTGGAATAAAATAAAATAATTAAACTTGAATCAAAGATTAAGTATGTGAGTACAGAAAATTTAAAATACAAGTCAGTAGTAGAATCCCAGAAGTTTAAGCACTTGAAGGGTCTTAAAAATAGTATCATTGATTTTTATCATTGAAGATGTTTAAAAGAAAGCTAAGATTTTTCTCAAAATGTAAATGTTTTTCATATATTTTGTTCTTAGAGGATAAACTGAAAAGTTTTCTCCAAAAACAGAAGACAAAACAGCATAGCCTGTTAGTAAAGTTAAGGGATGAAAATAGAACTCTAGATATTGTAAAGGATATTTTCATATCAATTTTTTAAAATAGCTGAATTATCTGAAATATAATTTGAGAACAGAAACAAGTTCCTTGGTCATAATAAGGTTAATAAAAAATTATTTAGCTTTTAGATTTTGGGTCTGTAATTCTCAATTGTGAAAATGTGATGAAATAGAGAGCTGTTTGGAAATGACAGACGGAGTCAACAGGATGATTGAGAGTGCCAAAAACAGCCATCTCAATTGAGTCCTGGGTTATCAGATCGTGTGACCAGATTCTTGAATTCATATAATCAATGAAAAAAATGCAGAAAAAAAGTAACTTTTCTAAATTGCAGAGTTTTCAGTTGCTCTAATTTACTTAGTCCTTATTGTATTGCTTCACTATCGACATGAGCTTTTGAGAATTCCAATACCGGAACCTGAAATGAAAGATCTTTGCTTCTGTAGTCATGTAACTTCAGAATTCTAATGAATCCTTTACAGAAAAGAGCTATGTATTCTTTTTTGAAACATTATCCAACACTTGACCAAGATAATTTTGTAGGAAGTTACATACCTATATTTATAAGTTCACTGCAAATGTGTTTGTGTGTGTGTGTATGTGTGTGTATATATATATATATATATATATATATATATGCATATGGCCACCATTTCATATCCTGGATGCTTCACTGCTAATCCTGATGATGGCATGAAAAAGCAGCAGCAGATGGCCCAAGTGTTTGGGCCCCTGTTACCCATTTGGGAGACCTTGATGAGGTTCCTGGCTTCGGCCATAGCTATTTCTAATAGTTGCATCTTTCTCTCTCTCTCTTTCTCTAACTCTGATGTTACAAATTTAAAATCTCTTTTTAACGAAAAATAAACTATTTTGTTTTACTTCCTCAAGGGTTGTCATAAAATAGAAGATTTTCATAACGTTATGCCAGATGGCATGAAATTGAATTTTGTCATTGCTTTGATTTCAAATAATGGCAATTACACCTGTGTGGTAACATATCCTGAAAATGGACGTACCTTTCATCTCACCAGGACTCTTACTGTAAAGGTGGTAGGTAAGCATGATTTGTATTAAGTATACGCAGCAAATGCATGATGATTTTGTTCAAGCTCTCAATATTTTTTCACATACAGATATGTATGCATTATATGAAAATAGGCAATGCTTTTAATCCATGGTGTTATCACTTGAGGCCTGCAGCAATTCCATGTGTCTAGTATCAATTCAATAATACATCAGCCGAATAAATCTGCAAGTGACTGATACAAAGGAAATTTGGGAAAAGAATGCTAGGCATATCTTTGTTTAAATTATATTACTGTCACTTATTAATAGCATGACTTTAATTAAGGTTCTAGTGCCCTTATCTTTACACTTGGACCAACACTATTACTCAGGAAAATTCCGAATATTAAACATAGCGTATTGTGTGAATGCAGTTCTGAGCAAGAGATAGAGAATGTATGAATGGTAGTTAAGTGTATTGTTGAAAAAGTGTCCTACATGGTTTCATTAAGCTCTATTTTTGTGGAAGCCAAAACTCCTGTTGCTGTCACTGAAGGTGCTTACCGGCAGCATTCCAATTTCTGTACTGATGGGATAGGGTGTGAGAGGCTAGAGAAGTGGAAAGGACAGGGCCTGTGCAGAGCCCAAAAACTCTGTCACCAGATAGCTTCAGATCTAGTGACAGGATATGTGGCTACGTGCATTGTGTTAAAAGTGATAATAGCATAGGAGAATAATACCATGCCATATCCATATTTTGACAGGACTCACAGTCCTACTAACAATGAGATTCGGACAGAAAGTTAACTTTTTGATATAACTCCTTGGATAGTAGACTTAATTCTGAATCTTGGGGTTTCTCTGTCCAGAGCTTTTTGAGATATTGGCCAATGACAAATTACAAAAATATTACAGTTACAAAACTATAGTGCCAATTACAAATATAGGGGCCAATGTGATGGCTTAGTATACTAATACCACACCTCCAGTGATGTCATCCCATTTTGGCACTGTCCCTAGTCTCGACTGTTCCCCTTCTGATCCAGCTCCCTGGTTATTGCCTGAGAAAGCAGTGGAGGGTGGCTCCAATTCCTGGGTCTCTGCACCTGTGTGGGAGACTCAGAAGAAAATCTTGGCTGTCAGCTTTGGAATGGCCAAGTTGTAACCATGTGGCCATTTCAGGGATGTACCAGTGAATGAAAGATTTATCTCTTGATCTCTCTCTCACTGTAACTCTGACTTTCAAGTATAAAATAAGTAAATCTTAAATCACAAAAATAAATGGCTTTGTCATAGTCAGAAAGTTCAAACCCATCAATTAATGCTAAGTGAAAGATTAATGAGGAAGAAAATAACTGAATACATTTTGTGTCTAATGTGAATGGACTTTGGAGGCCAAATGAGTTACCCAACTTTATATTCAGCTGTGTGTGTGTGTGTGTGTGTGTTGATACAACTATAGACTCACATACTTAAGTTCACCCATTTTTGGAAAGGTAAGAGGAGGAATGCTTGGTCACCTAGTTTATAGTTGTAAAAGTAAGTAAACACAGGTGGAGAAGGAGAGGCTTACCGTCTAATGCAATCAAACTTATACATTATACCACAAATCTAAACCATGAGATGTGTTTTATGATTCTTCATTTTATAGTTAAACAAAATTAGCTTCCTAACAATTACATTAAAACTTAGACTCTAAGAGTTTGTAGACAGCCTGAGCAGGCTCTGACCTTGCTCGGAATGTTTATTGCTCCCTACACTGAAAGCCTCTTCAACCTATTGTTTTTCCAATATAGAGGAGCAGAAATCCTGTTGATACAATTCAGCTGGTAACTTGACCTGAAGTATACTTATATGAACTTGAATTGCTTTAACAATATGAGTTTTGATTTTACCATTTATGTATTCATTAACTTAATATTTATTTAACCATGTCTAATACTAGATATTCTGGAAATAATGGGGAGAAATCGCTAGACAACATATAACAAAAATATGAAAACAATTGTAGTGTAGTTTGATATTTCTATCTCACACAGGCTTAGTTTGATATCTCTATCTCACACAAGCTTTGAAAAGCAAGAAAAGTATACTTAATAATGTGTGCTTAAAGGTGGAGGATATCATAGAGCCTTGATAAAGGATAATCTATCTTTGTGCTCAAAATATCCGATCACAAGCATAAAATACATAACAAGTTTCTAATTCTTTCTAGGTACAAATTACATGTTCTACAATACAGTTGAGTTTAATACTATCAGTTATCTCATCGCCCACACTGCCCTGCCCCTCGTAGAGTGCAGTCCTTTAAGACTACCATAACCCTGCCTGATATGCCAGTCTCGTGCAGTGTTTCCCGAGGTTATCCATGCATCTGCCTGACTCGTCTACAAGTCAGTTTCCTACAACTCCCTCTTCAGGTTCAGTGATGTTCTGGAATCACAGAAGATTCCATAAACTCCTTATTATATGAGCGAGTTTATTACAAAGGCTTCACATGGGGCAGGGAGGGAAATAGTGCACAGGGGTAATACAGAAAGGTTTTGAGTGTAGCAGTTCACTTCTTCTGAAGTTGAAATGCCATAACTTCATGGCTTGTATTTGTCTTCACCAACTCTGCAGTTCTCCGACAGCATTTGTAAGGGATTTTATAGATTCATTTCGTAGGCAAGACTGATTAAGCAGTGGCATTGGTAATTGACTCAGTCGCCCGACTGTTCACTCCATGGAATTTAGGGAGTGAGCTCACAATTCTAAATCGTGTACTGATTTTTATTTCTGGCCACCTGCCCTCTCCTCCTGGAGACTACAGCCCCAGTCATCTCATTAGAACACACCACTCCAGAGACTCTAGGGGTCATAAAAGCACTCATGGCAGGAGATGCAGCCAAATATGACAAATGCTGCTGCTGCTGCCTCTATCATTTGGGAAATTAGGTGAATTTTAGGAGCCTGGAGCAGAGCAAATATGTATTTTTTAATATATATCTCACTTACCTTAGTTCATATAACTAAAGTGCACTAATTAAACAAAAATAGAATTAAGGGATTTCTTTTTAAAAATATTTACTTATTAAATTGGAAGGCAAATTAACAGAGAAGGAGAGACAGAGTCCTTCCATCCATGAGGTCACTCCCCACAAGGGCCAACCTGAGCCTATCTGAAGCCAGGAGCTAGAGCTTCTTATGAGTCTCTGTTTTGCATCCAGGGTCACACGGACTTGGACCATCTTCTGTTGCCATCAAAAGGGAACTAGATGGGAATGGAGCAGCTGGGATGTGAACCGGATCCCTTATGTGGCACCACAATGAGCAGAATAGCTTGTTGAGCCACTGTGCTGGCCTCAAATTAAGAGATTTCTTAAAAGGACTTAGAAAATCATGCCAGGAAATTGGAAACGGGTTCACAGAAAAGCATGTTCTTGAGTAAGACTCATTTATTTGATGAACCCCTGTTTTATTTCCTCTCTTTCACAGGCTCTCCAAAAGATGCAATGCCTCCTCAGATCCATTCACCCAATGAACGTGTGGTGTATGAAATAGAACCAGGTAACTAACTACAGACATGACTCTGAATCTCAGCTATATTTTCCCTTTTTTTTTTTTTTTTTTTTTTTGAGGGCGAAGGCAGCTTTTATTGCTTCTCATGGGGAGGGCGGGGAGGAGCGCTTCCTCAAGGCACCCCCAACCTAAGGCAGGCATGGGTGCACCCCCGGAGGGCCAGAGGAGCCAGAAGGTCCTTTCAGAAAGGGCCCTCTCTCGAGTGGTCCACCGTCCGGGTCCGGACTGCAGCTCCAGCACCCACGGAGGGAAGCACCTTTGGAGGTATGTGCTGGTGCTGACAAGGAGGGAGGGAGGGAGGCAGACACCATGAGCAGAGCAGCAGAGGACCAGAAGGTTGCCAGCCCCCACCCTGACCGGCGCCTGATCCTTCAAGGCCTGGATGGTGTGACTTTTGGCCCAGAAGACCTTGCTCGCTGGGACAGCTGGCCGTTTAAAAGTCTCAAACTGCGACTCTTCACCAGCTGTCCGCTTGTCCTCTGGGCTGTTGCGCATGTGGCTCTGGCTGGCTTCTGGGGGTGGGAGGCGGGGCTCATCACTGGTAGGGCAAGTGACCCCGGGAATGGTGGGCAGGTCCTTTGCAAGCGTCTGGATTAGTGGGGAGTTCCGACACTCCATCAGGAATTTCTGGTCATAGATGATCCTGGTGCCTCCCGTGTGGGGATGAAGAGCATGCCCCCAGGGGTGGTGCTGTAGTCCCCAGGCGGCAGCTGCACGCCATCCCTCAACACCACCTGGCGAGTGGCAGGGATGGCCAGCTGGGGGTCCAGCTGTAGCTGCTGGCCCCAGACTTGGTCCGCTGCATACCACACGGCCACCCTCCCGCCGCCCTCGCTGCAACAGCCTATTTTCTTATTTATAAGATGTTAAAATGTCAGTTTACTTAGTGCAAGATGATGCAAAGCTACTATAAAGACATACACAGATTGAAACTGAAGTGTTTTTAGAAACCAAGGCAGCTCTGAGGCTTAGCTGCTTTCTCAATCTCAAGGAGAGCTGCACAGGTGTTTTTGTTTTGTTTCTCACTTTCAGCATCTGCTCTCTTCCACTGCTCTCATTCTCTCCCTTAGGGATTGCTGTTCAAGAAAGTGTTAGTTTGCACGGGGCATTGTCTTTTAGGGCAGCTACAGCTACAGAAGACATCTTCTAGACTCCTTCATGATGAAAGAGCAGGGTGGAGCCTAGATCACATCTGAGAATTAGGCAGCATCTGATTGAGCTGGTACACATGGATTCAGAGTTTAGCCACGTGCTTGCTATGGGCCTCTGGGTAACTTTTTCATTCCTGGCAATAATCAGTTATTACCACAACTGACGGTTTGTTCCTCAGACTCAAATCTGCCTGTGATTAAATACATTGACAACCATGTTAAACTTTATCATTTTTTGTACTGTATCCTTTGTAATAATTTCACTATAGGTACAATACAAGGTTTAGAGAACAGCAATACCAAAAACAAAAATAAATTTACAAATTAGATTTTGCTTGAAAAAACAAAGAGGGCCTTACATGGTAGCCTAGTGGCTAAAATCCTCACTTTGCATGTGCCCGGATTCCATATGGGCACCGGTTCTAATCCTGGCAGCTCCACATCCCATCCACTCCCTGCTTGGGGCCTGAGGAAGCAGTCGAGGACAGCCCAAAGCGTTGGGACCTTGCACCTGTGTAGGAGAACCGGTAGAGGCTCGGGGCTCCTGGCTTTGAATCAGTGCAGCTCCAGCCATTGCACCTGCTTGTGGAGTGAATCAATGGATGGAAGATCTTTCTCTCTGTCTCTCCTCTTCTCTGTATACCTGACTTTACAATAAAAACAAACTCAAATAAATCTTTAAAAAGCTAGGCAACACACTAAGGGATCTGCTAAAGTCAATGGAACCGCATTTCTAGAATTAGCTGTGAAGTGGTATAGTAATATGAACATTCTTAATAGAATTGCAGTAACTCCTTATTAATGACCTAATTGTCTTTTATTTACCTCTCATATGCTTTCAAAAAATCCTCACAGCGTTCAACCTATGTTCCTTAATGTTTGTATGTATGAAACAGGAAGAGGAAAACTTAAGAATCATGCATTGGGAAGGTGGACAGGCTATAACTGCTTAAAGAGACAAACCTAAATTAAAATTAGGGTGATGATACAGTTTATCTTCCAAACTGGGCACATTTTGATACTGAAAGCAGTTGATGTGAATAACTGACCAGGCGTGTAAGCAAAACACAGCATTGTTTATGAGTAAATCTGAATGCAAAATCACTCTGGGTTGGAACCTGACATGTAACTTAGTAACAGTTCGCTCTAAGGATGCCTTAACATCTTCAAGCCTGGCCTTTTATTTACAGAGAACATGCGTTTTAAAATGCCTCCCTTGTTCTCTAAAAAAAAAAAATCTTATAAGCTCATGAGTCGGTTTAAATATTCAGCACAGGTGCTTTTAAGTTTTCAGTGAGTGTGTTGCAACTGCTATTTGTCATTAAAGTATTCTTTTCTGCAAAGAATATCCCTAAACACTTGTTCCATCTCAGAAAGGGAGTGTAAGATTTTTTGTTTGTAAGCTGTCTTAAGGTTTGTTGAATGCACTCTTGCAGAGGGAATATTTCAGGATTCCACTTCTTAGGCCAACTTTTCTGCTATGACCTCGCTGATCCTCCCTGAGCCTTTCCTTGGCTGTGCTTTGTTCTGGAAGGGAATGACAATTGAAAAGCAAAGTTTGTAGCTTGTAGCACTTTCAGCACACATGCTGCCTTTTAAAAGCATATTCACATTGCATTGATAATGGCAATTTTGGGCACTTCATGTAGCTAATGGCTTTTTTTACAAAATTAAGTTATAAGTGACATGTTTCCTTATGGTAGATCGATAAACTATTTTGACTAAACTAAGATTTTAGATCTATATAATTGTATGGTTTCTGAATAGATATAAAATAAAGTGAGTATAACCATATTAAAGTTACAAGTCATTGGATTATCTTGCTTACACCACTGTTTTTTGTTTGTTTTAGGAGAGGAGTTACTCATCCCCTGTAAAGTCTATTTTACTTTTCTAAAGGACTCACGCAATGAAGTTTGGTGGACCATCGATGGAAAAAAGCCCGATGACGTCAATCTTGATGTAACCATTAATGAAAGGTACTAGGGATTCAGCCAAGGGTCACTAACCCCTGTCCCTGAGAAACACTAATCAATGAAAATTTAAATTTTCGTTTTTTGAGCTTCATTAGTAGAGGTCAAAAGCATTATCACATATTTAGTGACAGCTTCCCAAAATTGGGATATTGCACATGTAATTTCAGAGCCACATGCTACCTGATGACTGTTAATGGAATCTAATTTGAATGCCTTGGAGCTAGGCTCCTCCCTCACACTTCCTCTACAGGGTTTGCACTGCATTGTCTTAACCCCGGAAAGATTCACACAATTTTGATACTCTCTTTGAAATAGATAAAATGCATATCCCAAGTGAATAAAAAGGAAACAGTGTAAGTTTGTGATACATGAAAGATTATTAGTGTATTTCATTCTCTTTCTCAATCCTGGAAAATATTTTTGTGCCCCAATAATTATGGATCATTTGCTGTGTTTTAATTGGCATGGATTTTCTGTCTTCTAGTTTTTAATGCACATGAATATGTGTTACATTCATAATCAACAATAACTAAAATATCAAGCAAATGCATTTATGTTCTTTAAATTGTGGTAGTAATATAGCTCATTTTAAAAATAGTAGTGTGAGTCATTTTATTGCTATGTAAACCTGACTTTGGTCCTTGAAGACAAGACTACTCTTTAAATGAATTTTACCATTGTCAAAAAGCATTTGACTCTTGGCAACAACTAATGAAAAGATTAGCAACCATCAAGCTACATAAAAAATTTGTTCCAGGACCTTAATTTTTATCACCTATGTGATTACATATTTTGAACTACTTTGTTTCTAGACCTTGCGAGATATTTTTTTCCTAATGGTGAGTTCAGATTTAGTGTAGAAAACCTAATATATTTACTGTGCTTTAGGTTTTTGGTCCCTAAGTAAGTAATTAACTGCATATGAATGACAGTGTTAGACCAGGCTTTTCAATAAAATGTGATAAATATTGTGACTGAGTAGTGTCAAATGGTTTGCGAGAGACCATTAGGAGATTCAGTCAGTTTTTGGAGGTAAAGTACTACTTGTGACATGATATAGTATCAAATGCAAGATCTGAGTTTAGAGTGTGATTAGATAGACACATAAATGGGAAGTATATTTCTAATGTGAGGAGCATCATGTTCAAAGGCAGAAATTTACAGAAACAGAAAAGATTCAAAGGTGGAAAAGTTATTCCCTAAAATTGAAGTACATTTTTTTTTTGGCAGAACGTGTTGATGCAAGGTGTAGCTGGAGGCCCCGAGGGAGAGATCGATCAGTTCAGGAGTTCTGAACGTTGTGATTCCCACACTTGTAATAATAATGAATGAATAATAGGGTAAATCGTGCTGTTCCTTTTGCTGCTATGGAAACACATTGTCCGTTTTCACAGAAGCAATAGTGTTCAGCTTCGGCTAAACCAGTCGGGGCCCTCCATCAAAGCATATGACTGACAGTAAACCAAATCCAAAGGGGAGCCTGAGTAGCCTATAGCTATTAGAGGATGATTTTCTCCTTTGAGTTAAAATCAAACATCTGTGTATTTTAATAATTTTTTTGCAAGAATTACAGAGAGAGAGAGAGAGAGAGATACAAAGAGGAGAAGGATTCTCTCTCTCTCTCTACCTCACTCCCCAAATGGCCACAATGGTCGTGATTGGGCCAGGTAAAGCCAGGAATCTAGAATTCATATAGCAGAGCCCAGACCTGAGCCATTACCCTGTGACCTCCAAGTGCATTACCTGGGCACTGCATTGGAAGTGAAGCAGCGGTGAGGTGATAATAACAGTCCTACACGAACAGTTATTTAGGATTCTTCTAGTAAGTATGCATCCATAATGCTGTTACCAGGGTCCGTAGGCAATAATACATGCCGTGTAGGCACTACTAATTTTCTGTTACAAAAAGAGAAACATAAGACATAGATTTTCTACCATGCCCCATGTATACAGCAGTAAGTGACAGTGCTAAGCAAAACTCAAATGGATTTGCACCTGTGGAATTCTGTCTTAACGAACACAGCATCCCGCCTCATTAGTTTCAGTGAAGCAAGATGTTTTGCTTTGAAGAGAAACCTATAGCAAGAATCCATGATTGGAATTTGATGTAAACAAGTCTGCAAAGTAGATGGTGAAGAGCACTGTGTCATCATTCCCTTTGTGAAACGATTGTGTTACAGTTGGTGAACACGCCTTCCCTAACTGGGGACTCTAGAATTGCTTCCTTGTCAGATTCACAAAAAGTACATCGCTTTTGAGTCTCATAAATACTTTATTTTCTTTTCTCTATTTCTAGTATAAGTTATACCAAAATAGAAGATGAAACAAGAACTCAGATTTTAAGCATCAAGAAAGTTACGGCGGAGGATCTCAAGCGCAACTATGTCTGTCATGCTAGAAATGCTAAAGGGGAAGTTGACAAAGCAGCCAAGGTGAAACAGAAAGGTAATGAATGCACTCAGTGGATGGATCAGTGAACTCCAGTTGTAATAAGTGAGTAAGGAAAAGGGAGAAGTTGAGAAGAGTAGAATTTCAGCACCTAGCACATCTCACACACGGTAATGAAAGAATTGAGTGAAAAGACGATGCAAGTTTGCATCTGTGCAAAGATGCCCAAAATCTTGTTAATTATTGTGTCAGTAATTAAGTGCCTAATTGTTGCTAAAAATTTTTAAGTGTTTAGAACAACGTGGCATAATTTTATGTCTCCTTAGTCGTAAAAATGAGAACGAAAAGAAACATTGCAGCTTAGCAAGCATATAATCAAACTTATAGAGTCTCATATAATTAATGAATTGTGCAGAACCTTTTAGAAACCATTGTTGGCTGAGTTAAAGAACCATACAAATTATCATACTACGTGACATCATACTTTGGGGATCATTCCTGAATAAATAACAGAAAGATAATCATTTGTACCTTGATATCATTGAAGGCATTATTTGTAATATTGAAGTGTATTATTAATATCCATCATCTAATTTTATGAATAAATACTTTATAAAATATGTAATTGCAGCACTCAAACAGGTTTATAATGCAGTAGCTAGCATTGATAAACAATAATCATTAAGACCACTGTTTAACCTGATGTAAAAATAATGTTTTTGTTAATGTTACTATAATTTTCTATACAAATAAAAATTATAAAGCCTTGTTGTGTGAGCTGTTGCTCTAAAAAAAGCATTTTTCCTAAATTCCATTTTGCATCTGACCCTGAACACCAAATCCTAGACTATGAGTCGCTTTGAGAAGATTTTCCAGTATTCTGGAGAAACAGAGTGAAGGGGTGATTTCCCACATATGTCTGTGTGTCATATAAACAGATGTACAAACTTATTATTCACATCAAAATGGGAAAAAAAATTGGCTCAGAATTGTTACAACAAAAAGTGGGACTTAATTTTTTTAAAAAACTGATAAACAAATAGGATCCATGCTAAAATTTTATTGCAAGGTAGAAAACAGAAAAGGTCTGAAATATATATGTCTTTTGAGTTTTAGTAGGTTTGTAAAGGAAAACGCATTGCTTCTGCTCCTTGAAACCATGGAGACAAGACTAAAGTACATATTAGCCAGCTTTCCAATGGCACTTTCTAGAAACACAGCTAAGAACTATGATTGTACTGCAGTGCATTATTTGTACCCTACAGTCAGGCAGCCTGCTGAAATCCTGATCTAGGCATCCTATGTATTTTATCCTTGGGGAAAAAAAAATCACTTAATCTCTTTTAGCCTCAGTTTTTTTATGAATAAAGTTAGCAAAAGAATACCAATTTCACACAAGCTGGTTTTCAAGTGCTCAGCGTGGTTTCTGGCATATATACCTCTTAATGTTCAGTAAATGTTAGCCCTTACTGCTTCCACGTCTGTCTCCTAAAGGTCATCTGACAGACTTTATACTCTGAGTGTCATTATAGTCTAGGTAAAACCAGACCAATACCAAATTACTTTGGTTCAGGACCACTAGAGGGTTAATATGTAATAGTTCACTAAGGATTCAACCAAGGTTTGGGTTGTAGTATGCAAGATTTTCAAATGTATTGGTTTCCAGATTCCTTAAACATGAGTATCTTGTATAACTCATCTACTCATCTTCTGAGACATGTGTTCTGGGGAGTGACATAAGTTAATCATTGATTGTCAAGAACAGAGTCAAAACAGTCGATTAGAACACTGTTTTGTGTAAGAGTGGAGCCAGAATCCACACACCAAAATACATTTGTATTTACCATCAGAGAGTCTCCCCTTCCCTGAATGCTGAGCTCGCATTCATACCTTGCACAGTGGTCCTCTTTTGAATTCATTCACGTTATAAAGTCTATACACTTTATCAAGGATACTACAAGAAGACATTCAGGACAGAAATCAGAGGAATGTATCTAAGTGGAGCCTAGTGGCAGCACAATTCCAGCTGGTTATTTTAAATCAAGTATTGGAGACGTCATATTTTTCTTTTGTTCTCTTTATTTGTTTCTTTTATTATTCCATGATACAGTTCCACAGGTTCTGGGATTTCCCTTTCCCCGCACCAAGTCCCCATCCACCCCCCATATTTTCCCCATGTCATTACAATAGTGTAGTCCTTCAGAATCATTCATAAATCCATCAATCTATTATTTAAGTGTATCATGGCATTGTAGGTATAGGCAGTGTCAGAAAGATCAGCATGCTATTGTCAAGAGACCTTCAACAGATTCACTGCGAGTTCATCTTTGATTTGGAAGAGGAGATGCACGCTGCATCTTCACATCGACACATGAGAATCTCTACTTCACCATCCCCTTAAGTGAGAAGACATAAAATAAGATGAACCACAGAGAGAAAAAAAGAAAATTTACAACAACATGAAGTGATGCAACATGCTACTGAATGATCAATGCATGGCGGAAGAAGTGAAAAAGAAAGTCGAAGACCTTCCCAAAGCAAACAATGCTATTGTGTGACCTACGAGTCAGTGAGGACATTGATTAGATGAACAAAACTTGTATGAAAGAGTGAAAATAAAAACAAACATATTGAAACACCTGATGTAGCAAAAACAGCATTGAAAGGGCTATTTATCCTGTATTTTACATGAAGGTCGCCTTATATCAGAGAGAACATATGACCTATTTTTTTTTAATTCATTGTATTTTGGATAGACACATAAGTTTTTTACTGTATGATTTGTCAATATTTTCACTCTCTTTGTGCATTCATTTGCATTTGTTGAGTAGTATTTTTACAAATGGGATCAAGTTCATTTTTTCAGTTTCTACTGTAATAATTAGTGGTTTTTAGAATTGTACTTAGCAAATCTTCCAATCTTAAATATTTACAAACGTATTATTCTCTTTTGTCATAGGGAAGGTTAGCAGATTTTTTTTTTTACTTTTATGTCTAGATCTCTAGACCAATTCAAATTTTTTTGTGTAATGTGAATATTGGTTACAGTTGAGTTATCTCTTGTTTTTTTCCAGTTGTTTCAATGTTATATTGAAAAATCATTTGTTGTTGTTTAACCACCTTGAAAATTTGAGCACATATTAAATGACTCAAAATGTAATCTGTGTTTGCTCGCCACACTACATTTTGTGAATTTTTGTTTTTAATTCAATACTACTTTTTTTTATTAACATATTTCTAAGGTAATTCTTAAAAATAGATCCTGTATATCTTCTTCATTTTTTTTCAAAATCAATCTATTTTAAAAACTACAGTATTTTATAACCCAACATAATAATACAGTCATTTGACATGTTAAATTTTGACCTTGACCTCTTGATGTTGCTAAATTTGGTAATTCCACAGTTTCCACTTTTTCCACTTCTTTGTTTCTTTAGCATTTTCTAAGAACTTGACTATGTGACCCCATTAAATAGCAGCTTTGCTGCTTCCTTGTCCAACTTTATGCTTTGATGACATGACTATTTACATCCTTTTTTTGACTCCCAACATAATGATTATTTGAAATTACAAGAGGAGCCAACTTTGTGTTATTTTCAAATTGAAAGATGGGTCCAGTTTTTATGTATTAAATCTGTTGGTCACATGTAGAACGTTTAGGTAGATATTATTTATTTGTGGAAAATATTAACATATTTGGCTTATTGAAATTTTTTAATTCTATGTTTTGACTTTTCTTGAATTCCTAATTTCATCTACAGACAAGAACTTATTTTTTTTCATTTATTAGTCAATGTGATACTTTTACTGATTTTGAACTTATAAATCTCGGTTATGAAATTATTTTGTACATGTTAAATGCTCTGCATTATTCACTTCAGGACATGTCCTATTTTTTTTTAATTCATAGGTTATCTAGAAATGTGTTAATTTGTATATTCCTTGGGATATTTCTTTATCTTTTAATTGTAGTATATGGGAAAGTTCATTTGAGCTTTAAACCAATCTGCGCTCTGTCACTTTTCATAACTTAATTTGGAGCATTAAATATTGTAATTTATATCTTGGCAATTAAAACAATTAGCAGTGAGTTAAAGTCAGCAATAGATTTCACATATAGAACTACCCAAAGCTGAGAATTCTAAAGTAGCATGGATTGAAAAGGACATGGAATTTATGTTCAAATAGACGTATTTTAAATTTCTGGCTCTAGTAGTAATGAAATATCCATTGATCAAGTATATAAAATGGTATTGATGTTCTTTAATCATGCTGCTTTTTAATGTACTAACAAAGTTTACATACCACAAAGCCATGGAAATATTACCTTCTATTTGGGTCTATGATCAATGCCAAAATTTGTGTGTGTGTGAGTATGTTTGCTATGAAAATAACAAATTGAAGTTTGATTATTTCATATCAGGATCCAGTGGTCTATAAAGATTTGTTGGAAAGAGTTTGGTTCCCTCCTGGTCTTGCTCTGCTGCCTTTTCTGGTATTATCATGGATCGTGTAAACATGAAGTTGAAAGTTTTCCTTCTATCCTTTCTTTTGCCCCTTTAGAGTTTCATTTGATTTTCTCCTGACCAATAATTTTTGTAATGCAAATTCGGAGGATTTTTTTTGTTCTGTTTATTGCTATCTTATCTCTCATTTATCTCCTTTTCTTTGGCAGGTTTAAATATTGACTATGTAGATTATTAAAAATAAATATCTTCTGTTGTGGTATATGTGTATATTATTTAAAGTTTATTAAATTTCATGATCTATATGCTTTTCTTTATTAATTAATGTGAAAAAAATTCAGCCATGATTTCCTCAAATGTATTTTTCTGTTCCCTGCTGCTCTTTGCTTTCTTCGGTTAGTATTTTAGCTAAATTTCAGTTAAACCACTTCTGCTCCACACTCCCCAATAGGTCTCTGAGACTCTGTTTCTACTGCTGCTCTCTTACCCTTTTCTTGTAGGGGGTTTGGGTCATTCTCGTTTGCAATAATCATTGCTGTGGTAACAGAATCCACAGCAATTTTAGTTTTAGAATTGGATTTTTCAGTATTTGAATTTCCATTTCTCCACTGAAAACCCTATGTGGATACTTTATCTTTGATGTTTCTATTGTCTATTTTTTTTATCAAATTCAATAAAAACATTTTATTAATATACATATAAAATATTTATTGGATAATTCTATCATCTTAACTAATTCTAGTTATATTCTTTGCTTAAAATATCCATTTAAAAAAACATTTGGAACTCAGAATCACAGAGAATTTAAACAGTTCTTCCATCTGCTATTTACTTCCAAAATTCTGAAAACAGTTGGATCTGGGCCAATTCAAAGCCAGGATCCTGGAGCTTCTTCCAGATCTTCCCCGTGGGTACAGGAGCCCAGAGATGCGGAACACCCATGCTTTTCCAGGCTATTACTATGCATCCAAATTGGGAGTAGCAGGGGCATGAACCAGTGCCCAAATGAAATTCTCATGCAGCAAGTTCTAGATTAGCCTACTATGCCATGTACTTGGCCTCTGGTTGTATTCTTATTGGCTTATTTTTTCATTGAATTTGGATTGTGTGTGGTTTTCTTTATATGTGCATGTATGTGTTTGTGTATGTATGTATGCATATATATATACACAATATATAAGTGTATATATATATACACATATATTTTTTGCTTTTTTCATTGTAGTATTTTTTATCATGTGCTGTATGTTGTAGTTATTATGTCATTGACTGTATGCATTTTTCCCTAAGCATTACATTTTATTCTAGCAAGTTATTAATTTGCTTACATAATATTACAATAAAAAAATCTAGCTTTGTTAGAGTAGGCATGACCTATCCTTTTCTGTAGTTAGATTGAACCTACTTATTCTGATTGACCTATTTCTGATCTCCAGTTAATACTTCAGGAGGTGAAACGAGGCTCTTGATTCTGCTTGTTCTAATTCTTGGATCTCAAGGCTTGCCTGAGCGATTAGGGTTGCTTAGTTCTCAGTGGTTCTTCTCCAGCCTTTTTAGTATGTATATATATGAACCCGGGCAGAGTTCATTTGCTGCAAAGTGCCCCTTCTCCCTGAAAAAGAAACATGTGAAAAAGTTCCACCAACTTAACCAGCAACAGCTACAATTTCTGTGCCAGTGGAAATGTGAGCATTCAAACAACTACTAAAACGAGGGACACCAGGGCTGGAACCGCAATAATTAAGGTATAAATGAGAATTTTTATATTCAAGGAAAAAAACAGGGTTGTAGAAAAAGAACTTGAAATTGGAAGAAGGAAAAGAGTTGAGGGGTTGAACTGTTTGAGCCAAGGTCAATCACCTGGAAATTTGAGCATCACAGCCAGTTATTGCTGCAAAATTGCAAGAAAGGCATTTGTGACTCGGGGTAAAGTGTGACTATAGCAAATGGCTAGATTTGACCACATCCTGATTCAGATTATAATGAAATCCAGGAGAGAAAAACAATTTAGGAGTCCAGTTGGGTCAAATTGCACACACACCCCTTCCTGATTGGAAACCTATTTGGATTGCATCAGGATTCCTCCTGGAGCTGACAGAAAGTACAGGTTAAAGGTCGTTTTTTCTGTAAGACAACAGACCTTTATAAGAAACCTCCTCCTATGCACAGTTCAAACAATTTAGAAAATCAAGGTAATGGATTATTTATCTTAACAGTCCAATTAATGAAATGGCATTAGGGACTTATTGATGTCTAGATGGCTGTGCAGGGTACAGTCTATAAATATGGCACACGTGTGACACAGACAAAGTAAGTCCCACTGAAATAAAATAGATAGGGATAAAGTGAAGTCATACATGGTAATTTACAGAGTTAATTAATCTTATAGTTGTTAAGCAAAATCTCTGTTGACATAAAAAAATCTATTTCAGCCTTGTGAAACCAATAACCCTCCCCAAACTATTGCAAACTGTCTCTCCAGAGGGAGCCAAGAAAAGCAATAGCAAATAAGAAAATATCAAAAGGGATCACAACAGTGTACTGTTAATGTAACATGCCCAGAAATACTAGGAACACAATTTTTATGCCAGCTACCTGAATTGGACTTAGTAAATTCTCATTAGCTGCCCTTATTTCTGGCATTTATGATAGAGAATTTCCTGAAGCGCTATTATTCATAGCATGAGTATGTGTTACAGATATACTTTTGCATATCTGAATCCCATACCTATGCAGTTTTGATGTTCTGGGCTTGGTATGAAAAACACGAGATTCTGCAATATGTCTCTTCATTATAGAAGCCTAGGCTCAAATATGATTTTCCTCTTGGGGTACATACCTGTTGCAAAATGGATTTTCCACAAGTGTATGACCCATGATTCCATTTGGTGGTAGCGTTAAGCTAAGACTCTGCAGTTAGCATCAGGGAGCTTTGGCAGCAGTCCTAGAGCTGAGTGGGTTTTTCTGTGCTGCATCTCAGCAGACAGGTAACTAGCTGTGATGTTTCAGATGCTCACACATAAGTCTTCCTCATCAAGCTATTGAAAATAAGAAGGGACTTCAAAACATTTATGAGCATTTCATGTATAGTGTTCCAGCTAACAATGCCAGCATCCCATACCCAACACCAAGGTTCCTTGGTGGTTATAACTACAGATGCCAACTTCCTTGCCAGTGCAGATACTGGAAGATAGCAGGAAATGGCTTAAGGAGTTGGTTCTCTGCCACTTACATGGAAGGCCTGGACCGAGTTCTGGCTTCTGGCATCTGTTTGGCTGTGGCTGACAGTTGTGGACTGAACCATCACATGACAATTCTCTACCTCTCTTCTTTCTTTATCTCATTGCCTCTTGAGTTAAAAATTAATTCCATGGAAAGTGGAATTAACTTTATTTTGGAGCAAATTGTTTGGAATCCATGTGTGTGATGATCTTTAAAAATTTGGGAAAGCTGCATATTGTAAAATGCTGTACCTGATTTTAAAATATTTTCATGTCAAAGTAATCTTAGTTTTTCATTTGTTTTTTCATGAATATTCTGAAATGCCTGTTTCCTTTTTGCACTGCCCTTATCCTTTAGTGACATGTATCACATTATCCTGTTTATTTCCTTTATATTCTTTATATATAATGGATATATATGATCACCATTGTAGTAAAACTGGCTCATTTATTTGCTTATAATGACTTCTGAAATAATATGAGGCCCTAAATTTAATTTTGTATTCATCAATATCAAAAAGAGTCATGAATGCATGCTTTAATTTGACTCAGGCTTTTTTTAGATGTTCCCAAACTAAAGCATGCCAATGTTAGAAGCTTGAGATAATAGTACTAGGAAGGACTAGTAGTAGGCAAGATAGCAATAGGATGGAGATTGTAAATGCGTAATTAAATTGATAGTGAGAGGGAGTGGAATAGTGGGCCAGTATATGAATTATATTTTTTCAAATGCTGTAAAATAAAAAAATAGGTATTCTACCAGATTGAACTCAGGTTGCAAGAGTTTTAATTTGTGAAAGCTTCTAAAAATTAATGGTATTCAATTTGAGCATGAATATGAAAACTAAAAGGAGAAAAACTGTTCCAGCAAAAAGAGCACAATACTAAATATTTCTGGTGATTCTGAGGAAAGGAAAATGCCTATGGAACAGGAATGTGATGGTGATAGACCTTACCGGGACTCATGAGGTATAAGGTGGTGGGTTTTCACATGCTTGCGAAGTTAGCTTATATTCCATTGCCGATGGTTCTGCAGAAGATGTGAAGAAAACTCCCGTAACACACAACCTGGGGAGATGATGTGGATCTCTGCTCATTCTCAAATAGTGCAGGTTGATCTTTGGAATGCGTGCTCTGGAAATGTGGGCATGAGAGATCATTTCAAAGCCAAGCATACTCCGGGTTTAATGGATACCTCTTACTTTTGCCCAGTGAAAATAAGATTTTCAACTGTTATTTCCAACAATACAGAAAAAGGAATTACATTTCTTCCAACTGGCACTGGACAAAGGCTAAAACTAAAACTAATGGAACAAGTTAAAGTTTATATTCAGATACAATTCTACCAGTACTATGGTTTTTTTCCTGGTAGCAGTGAGAATTCCTTCTCCACAGATAAATGCAGGACATAGTTTTTTGAGGTGGTTCAGGTATAAAAGCGGGGCAGGCCTTTGGCACAGAATATCTGCATTTCCTCAGGCTGGGCCTGGCTATGCGTCTCTATCCCAGCTTGTGCTAATGTGTGCTTTGTGAGGGAAAGTGATGTCTGCCACCCACACGAGAGGCTCCGTTTGATTTCTTGGTTCTCAGATTCGGCCATGCTCAGCAACAGCTATTGCAGGCCATTGGGGAGTTACTCAGAAGTGCACATCTCACTTTCTCTCACCACTCTTATACTTTCCTCCTTTCAAACTGTATGAATAAATAAATAAATAAAACTGCATTAATAAAAGAAAATGTTCAAACTTGTGAATTGAATTAGTAGAGTTTCTGTCCCAATAGTAAGAAGCCATTTTAATTTGTGTTTCATCAAAGTCTATCCATGTATGTAAGAGCTATAAACATTGTCTATGCTGGGTTGTGCAGGAAGGTGTGATAGTCTCCTATTTACAAGTATAAAACCATTATGCTATTTCTGCTTATTTATACATGTAAGTCAGTGCGTGGTTCAGCTGATTGCCTTATCCTATGGTTGTGAGATCATCATTCACTGAAAGCATTACATGGAGATCAATGCTATTTCTTTGTTACTCATTCTAGTGGTAGCTCCAAGATACACAGTGGAGCTGGCATGCGGCTTTGGAGCCACAGTCCTGCTGGTGGTGATTCTCATTGTTGTTTACCATGTTTACTGGCTGGAGATGGTCCTGTTTTACCGAGCCCATTTTGGAACAGATGAAACAATTATGGGTAAGTAATGGAAGTTTGATAGAAATGTCATGTATGGCCATCTTTAGAAACTGATGAAATTTAGATTAATTGCAAATTTAAGATTATCTTATATGGCAGGGCTCATCAATGAAAATATTCTTGATGTGTATTACACTCTTGGCTGAAATAATGTAATTTAACATAGGTTAGCCCTGTCCAAACAGGAATACAAGACAGGAAAAAAAAGAGTACGAGGCAAGCCACATAGGACATTTTTGATTTTCTGATGACCACACTAGAAAAGGGAAAAAGAAACAAAGGAAAATAATGATGTGACTCCGTTTATTGAAAATGTGATTATTCTTGCATGTAATTTAATAAAAACCAGTCAGTGAGGTACTTGAAAATCTTCAAAACTCACAGTATGATTTGTTTTACACTTAGATCAGTTTAAATGTCTAGTAGATAAAGGTTGTTTGTGGCATCTATATTTCATAGTTTAAGTCCATGCTTTTTGAACACGACAAGTGGTCAGTAGGATGGGCATTGGTTCAGCAGTTAAGTTACATACTGGCTCACCCTCATCTTATAGCAAAGTGTCGAAGTCCAAGTTCTGGCTATGCTTCTGATTCCATACAGATTCTTCAGTTCATTCTACAAAGGTTCTAATTCACTAGTCTTTGGGAGAGTCCCAGAATCTATATTAGTAACTGACAGTGAATTATAAATTTGGGAAAATCGATATTTTAAGTTGCATTTGTTTTAGTTATAAGTAGATTGGTAATTTAAGAAAGGTTTGCTCCATCTGTGATTCTAATACATTTGTGAGTGATAAACCGAGACAGTCGAAGTTTTCTGCATGGTATTCATAAAGACCCAAATCGGTGAAATAGGGATAAAAGGACCATCAGGTCAGATTTAAATTCAAGTAGTCATTTTACTTGCTACAAGTGGAAAGTCACAGTGAAATTTGTGATCTAATTCATATATGTATAAAATAAGCATGTCACTTATTTTGGTATTCCTATTGTGTTGATTTGAATGTGTTTCCTAATTTCCATTGTGTCTGTGTCCCTCTGCCAGATGGGAAGGAGTATGATATTTATGTGTCCTATGCAAGGAATGCTGAAGAAGAGGAATTTGTTTTACTGACCCTCCGTGGAGTTTTAGAGAACGAATTCGGATACAAGCTGTGCATCTTTGACAGAGATAGTCTTCCTGGGGGAAGTAGGTATTTCATATGAGTCCAAATGGTGTCAGGCTGAAGGGAAAATATTACTTAGCAGCCTTGGCCTGGGTGGGAGAGTCACAGCTCTGAGTTGTAAATTTGGATACTTAATGTCCAACTTTGTGAAGTAATAGAGATTTTTCTGAGAGAAAAAAAAAATCACAACACTAGATGCACACAATTCAACTCAGTTTAGGTCATTAAAATATGTGCTTTTCTATATAATCCTCAAAGGTATTGCATGGGAAAACTGTGGCTGGACACGGGATTTGAACTGTCTTAATGTGCCCCAGCATTAACCATGCCGTTTAGCCACACTTATATTTTTAGGCTTACACTGATTTGTTCTGTCTACAGAAAACCACTTTTTTGTTTTTATAAAGAACAATATTTTAGGCATTTTTTTTCCTAAAATTGAGTTAAAGTTAAAAGTGTGTAGAATTTGCCCTTATATTACTCTCTGAAAATAGCTAGGATGCTCTGCTTTTCTTTGGCCTTGACTTAATTTTCTTTTCTTCATTTTTACTTTTTGGCAAACTAGCTCTACTCAAATTCCTCTTTTTCTGTCTATTTATTCCTATCATATTATATATTTGAGACTAGGTGTAAAATTTTAAAAAGACTAATATACTATATTGATTTAAAGACAGAAAATGCTAAATGTTTCAGAGTAACAGTGCATAAGCTTTTTTTAGCTTCACAAAACAAAAAGTAACAGTCCATTTGTGAGATTCTTTCAACTTCTGGGTCCACAATTAAACTCTTAAATATTCAAATTTATATGTGTTTAATTTTAAGCAAGACACATGGATCTTTTTCCATTAAATTTTAATTATATTAATCATTAAGTTTGTTTTTAAAATATTCATGAACAATTGAGCAGTAGAATAGATAAAACTTTATAATCATTTTGAATCAATTTGATCATTTTATCTCTTAAAAACCTGTCTTGCTTATTTCTTAAAGAAGAAACCTTGTTCAATGTATCTTTGCTAGGAAGTGATGACTTAACTATAGAGCTAAAGAACAAGCCCAGCTCGAATCCTCTAAACTATTTGTTTATCTATTTATTGATGCATCTAGCCACTTGACCAACATTTATGTACTGTATCCTGTTCCAGCTGGCTTGCCCTCATTCTCTGTGTTCTTCCAATGTAATCCTCTTAGCTTCTGGATCTCTTTCTATGCTCACGTCATCAGTGTCCTGTGACACTTTTTGTAGTGTGCAAGTCACTATTAGATTTTCCCCCATCCTGTACACACTAGATCTTAATGGCAAGTATTTCTTTACAATTTCCATACCTGTGAAGAATAAGGGAAAGAATTACTAGTAAGGGGATCTTGGCATGCCCCGGTGCAGGTTTCCACGCCAGCGCATTGCCTGACGCTGGCGACTCTGAGCCCTAGGTAACGGATTATACAGTGTTCAATGAGCCACCATGAAGAGTATTTGCATCACGAATATAGGGGCAGGAGTGAATCAAAGCTCTTGGCAGGAGAATACAATGACACTGTATTTTCCTTTTCCTTTCTTTTTCTTGCAGAGTTTGCCTATTTGCAAAAGTATGTCCATTAGATTGTAGCTTTCTCTATGCATGCCTCCATTATATTCACAGAATTTTAAAGAGAAAGATTCAAGTCTAAATGTGGCTATACAGCAGAGACAGAGAGAAAGGAACCTGAGTTGAGAATGTGTTTCTAGCCAAATGCTACCCAATTGCCTGGGCTTTGCATAGGTTCTACTGCAATGGCTACTCATTAAGTTTGATTGAAGGAAGAGTCCAACCACGGAAGACTTCCAAACATGGTTTCTATTATTGTTTCCTGTGCCAGAAAATGGAGTTCTGTAACATCTAATATATGTCTCTTGTACTCATTGAAATTCTGAAGTTTACATAGGTAGTTTTGGGCAGAAAGGACTCAGGAGCTGATTTGGCTAGGCTACAAAATACCATAGCTTGAAGAAACTGATTTTAATCCACATTATGCTTTTGAAAACCAGAATAACAGAATATAGCTCATTTTAGCTTCATGATTCTTCAGATTCTGTCTTGGGTGGGATATAAGTACATATTTTCCCTATTTCGTGAAAAGATCTATTTGATGAGGCCATGATTGATTCCATGAAATGAATTGTTGAAAATGTTGCTGGTAAAAAAGATTCATTCCTATTCCCAGACTGTTATCGTAATTCCCTACATTTGTTCCTCAAGCCCCACGCTCTTGAGGTGTTCTCAGCCAACACTAATTCCCATGGTGTTTTCTTTCTCAGTTGTCACAGATGAAACCTTGAGCTTCATTCAAAAAAGCAGACGACTCCTGGTTGTCCTAAGCCCCAACTACGTGCTCCAGGGAACCCAAGCCCTCCTGGAGCTCAAGGCTGGCCTAGAAAATATGGCCTCTCGGGGCAACATCAACGTCATTTTAGTACAGTACAAAGCTGTGAAGGAGATGAAGGTGAAAGAGCTGAAGAGGGCTAAGACGGTGCTCACAGTCATTAAATGGAAAGGGGAGAAATCCAAATATCCACAGGGCAGGTTCTGGAAGCAGCTACAGGTGGCCATGCCAGTGAAGAAAAGTCCCAGGCGGTGTAGCAGTGAGGGAAAGGGTCTCTCCTATTCATCCCTGAAAAACATCTGAAAAGGACAAAAAAATCCCAGTTGTGATTACATAAGCAGAGAAAAATTCTTTCTCAGCTTCCCTGTGGGGATCAGTTAAGAACGTCATGGGTTTGGCTGGCTATTGTGCTTCTCAGGTAATACAGCGGTTAGAATATGTTGTCAGTATCATGTCACCAGACTCTGATGCCATCACATTCTTTGTAGGCAAAGACTTTGTTGATGTGGATTTCCCTGTTGGCATACTCCACTGAGTTCCTGTGTACACACATTTGTGGTAAATAAAAAAGGGTGAGGTGAAGGGTTAACATCGTGCAGCAGCCTTACCCATGGATTTAAGTTCAGATCCCCTTAAGAAATGCAGTTGTTGACAGGGATATTATTATGACTTGCAAGTATAATTTTCTTTTCTTTTTACTCATTCATTAACAAGAAAACCAGGGCCTGCGTTTGACTGAGCATAGGAAAATAAAACAGAAAATAAGCTTCAGCTCACTCAGCTGCACTGTGCCCTCCTATACCAGGACGACGTACGTGGCAATAAAGCACTGTATGTGAAACTGCTCCTAATGATTCAGTTTAAAAGTGTGTTGCATGGTTCTCCCCTGTACTGCCCTCATTATGCTCATCTCAGGTAGTTGAGGTAATATTTGTAAATTTTAAAAATCATGAATTTTGTTTTTATCATGGAAAGTTCCTGATTATTTTAACATCAAACCATATTTATCATTCCATATACCCATCTATTTGTATCAGCTATTCAGAGTCTGCATGTCGAATATAAAAGAAAACAGGAGATGTTGCAGGTGGCTCCACACCTGGGTCAGTCTGAAAGGAAACTTTCTCTATTGGTGCTAATGCAGAGAGAAGCAACAGAAAACGGCTTTTCAAATTTTTGGGGGCTTGTGAAAAGTACACATTATAGGACATTTGGTGATTACTTTTTAATTTCCAGCCTTGTTGATGTGAATACTAGGAAAGTGGTCCTTTCTCAACAGCATTTGCCTTCCCCATTATAAAGTGTAGAGGTTAAAATTAGCAACCCTGATTGTTGCTTTTAGCATTTCTTGTTAAGAATTAGCTATGTTTCCTATCATTTATTCACTAGCACAGATCATGGAAAGCCACAGTTACATCAGCCTGAGAAGTCACTGTCCATGAAGCTTGTTTTTGTTTAAGTAATAGTTTATTGTTTTCAAGACTTGGAAAAGTTAAAGCTAAGTGAAAAGTTTACAGAGTGGTAATTATCTGTTACATGTATATATCCTGTGTATGTACATGTGTGTATGTGTTTTTATACATTCATGTGTATGTCAGAATCTTAAAATGTGCGCACATGTGTGTATATATAAACATGCACATACATGTGTGTATTTATACATATTATCCTGCACACACAGAGTTTATGGTAGCACTTAAAAAGTTTGTGGAAAATGCTAGTGTGAAAAAACTATGAATATATTTCAAAGTTTTTGCACCAAAAGTTTGTTTTATTTCTATTTTTTCATGATTTTAAGTACCTTCATCTGTAAGTGTGTGTACACATATGTATATATATGTATATATATGTATATGCACATTTGCATATATACACATATACACTTCTCTATACACAGCCATTACTACAATATGGCAAACCATTAGAACATTTGTCCAGTTGGTAAATTGTGTTTTATTGTAATGCTTTAGTGTCAGGGTTGGTGGTACATGAATATTATTTGAAATTCACATTGGGAAAAGTGGTACTTGTCAATTCTTCTGTAGTTGATATAAATAACTCAATATTAGTACAGTTGATTTGGGTTGCAGTGGAATTTGTAGTGCATGGAGCTCAGCAGTAACTGGTTTCTGATAGTGATTGATTTCCTGCTGTATTCCCAGGAAATACAATTAGCAGTTACACTCAGTGCTCAACGACTATTTGCACTCTTGACTGAAAAGAAAAATAAATATACCTATACATAAGCCTAAGCGTCTCATAAAGCACAATAATTTATAATTGAAAGAATCCTGTAGCCCAGAAGTGCAAATGTTGACACATGATTCTAAAATTGCTTTCTAAGTCTCCTTCATCGGTGGTACAACCTGTGATACACAATTTTTCCACATAAAATTATTGATTATTTAAATTACATAAAAATTCACCTTTGAACTTTTGGCTATAGAACTATGGTATGGAGTCACTCTTGAATCTGATATTTTCAGCATTATGAATGGCAGCTATTCCCTTTATTAGCCAGTTACACGCAGGACTACAGGAAGCTGACTCCAGATGAACCCTGAGCGTGGGTTCTTACTTGAGCTTTAGCTAAACAGAGGATCATTTCATCAGAAGGGACCATGCTGATGCTGCATTTCTCTTGCACTTTTGGATTCCATATTTATCCCAGATGCTGCTGGGTGTCCTTAGAATCTCCTTGCTTTTTCCGGCCTTTTTGCTGCCTTTGATACTGAAATTTTCCAAATTCTGTAGTCTAAAGTATATCAGATCTAATTGAAATGTTTCATCCCAGAGAAATATATGTGAATTTTTTTTTATATTCCAGAAAATGTCCATTACAGGACACTTGATGGTGAAAAACATTTTGTCATTTAGAAAATAACCACATCTTTTAAAAGTAAAAGTTAATGATTTGGAGTATTTTCTGTAAGGCCCAACTGTACCCAGGTTAACAAAGGACCATGATATAAAATTTATTTTATTCTCTTTTTTATTGTAACTTAGATTATGCCTTAAAACTCTAATTAAAAAAAACCACTCCATTGTGCTGAGAAATAAAACATCAGTCATTAACTATTCGTTTTCTATACATGTTTTAATGTTAATGTTATGTTTTAATTTTATTCATGAACATTTGTATATACCATTTTCATTTGATGTGTAAATTTACCTATTTTTAAAATAAACCATTTATTTTCAGTTTTGAGTTTTATTTGGTGCATGTGTTTATGTCTTTATTTTCATGTTTGAGCTTTAAAAGGTAAGAATAAAAAAATCATAATTACATTTACAAAATTTGTATTAAATAAATTTCATTAATTGTGTATTTCCTGAGAGAAATCTGAGAAAAAAATAATTTCAAATCAAAAATATTTTCTTTACATATGAGAAATGTATTTGAATAGTTCCAGGGAACTAGGAAGTCCTTGGGCTGTGTGTGTGTGTGTGTGTGTGTGTGTGTGTGTGTGTGTGTGTGCAGATAGGTGATGGATAATACCAGTTAGAGGAATGACAGGTGATGCAGGAGCAGAGCAGAGCAGAGCAAAGAGTGAGAAGACTTTTAAAACAAAGAATCCCATTACTTTTTATTCAACTTGAAACTTGCACAGCTTATTGGAATCTCTCACCTTCGGCTGCTTAATAGAACCTCAGAGCCATTGCTTTGCACTGTTAATTGGCAATCTGATTCACTAATGCATCTTACAAAAATTAAATCAGTGATAGGAATTTGAAATATCATTTCTTTTGAATTAATAACATTAAACCTGTTGTGACAGGAATACATTTTTGTTTTGTTTTAAGGAACCATTTAGTTAAAAAGCTTATTTAAAGTTAAAAACATTTTAACATGTTCTGACTACGTGAACTTGTAGAGAACTTTCCTACTAAAAAATTTTTCCTCCTGAAAGCTAGTTTCCAAATAATATTATTAGTGGCTAGAATGAAAAGACAGATCTCTACTCATTTGAAAAACAGCTACCAAGCCGCGCTGAATAATGGAATCTTGTGTCTTTACACATATTGGGTCCTGGGCAAGCAGGGATATACACTCTGAGATAGGGTAAATCCTAACCAAAAATCTGTATAGCTTCTCACATCAGACCAGTGGCTTAAGTGGGAAGTTTTGTTTTCTTTATAAGATTCATTTATTTTTATTGGAAAGGCAGATTTACAGAGAGAAAGAGACAGAAGGATCTTCACTGGTTTACTCCCCAAATGGCCACAGCAGCTGTAGGTGAGCAGTTCCAAAGCCAGGAGCTAGGAGCCTCCACCAGCTCTCCCATTTTGGTGCAGGGTGCCAAGGCCGTGGGCCATCCTCTGCTGATTTTCCAGGCCATAGGCAGGGAGCTGGATGGAAGCAGTCAGGACTTGAACCAGTGCCCCAATGGGATCCTGGCATATATAAGGCAAAGATTTAGCCACTAAGCTGTCACAGTGAGCCCATGTATGAAGTTACTCTTTTTGTTAAGATTAATTTATTTTTACTTAAAAAGCAAAATTACAGAGTGAGAAGAGACAGAAAGAGAGAACTTCCACTAGCTGATTGTCTTCCTAACTGACTGCAGTGGCCATGGCTGCGTGGTCCAAAACAAGAGACGGGGCATTTTCTGGATCACCCACAATGGTGTAGAGGACAATGGCCTCGGCCAATCTTCTGCTACTTTTCAGGGCCAATAGCTGAATAAAAAGTTGAACATTCAGGACACAAATAGGCCTCCAAATTGGATTTAGGCACCTCAGGGGGAGGCTTAGCCAGGTAAGTCAAGATGCTGACCCCTGGAACTATTGTTAAAACTGAACATAAGTACATTAGCTCTGAATACAGAGTGACAGGCTCTTTAAATCTTTTAAGCTGTCACTAGGCCATTCACTAAATTCTCTGCATGGTATGAGAGATACATTTTGTGGTCTGCTCTCTATTGCTACTCAAGTAACATAGAGTAACTTAAGCAATGACTTATTAGATTGAACAGTTACAAGTATTTTTACACCTATGTATTTCATTTGAATAGATAATATTAACGCCTAGTTAATTTAATTTATTCAGATATTAAATCACTGTTCTAAAATTAGTAGCAAGAATCGATTTGGAGTCAATAAACACTAGTCTGTATAAATTATATTAATATTATGTTTACATTGAGTAATTTATTCAGTTGACATTCAGATGCCCAGTGAGTGCTACACATTTGCATCTAAATATTTCTAAATTTGTATAACATCTCTACTAGTTTGTCGACATCATATGTGTATTAAAGATAGAACTCAGAGACAGTAAAACAGGCAAAAGGAGAAACAAAGAGCTGAATTCAGATCCACCTTCTAGAATTGTTGTTCCCCTTTTCATTACTTATAGACTTTAAGAGGAGTGAGACAGTTTCATTCATTATTCTTCCAAAATGACAGCCTAAGCTTTCCTGCAGGTGAATTCCATGGATATTTTGAGTTTCAAAGACAGTAGACATGACACCGAAGTCATCTTACTATAACAAAGGAGAGTACATCTTAACTACAAGTATACTCCATTTATTGAGTTACAACTGAATAAGCACTCTATTGAATGGGCCTGTTTCTCCAAAGGAACATTAGCATTAAAAAAAAAGAGAGAGAGAGAGAGAGAGCTAAAATCCTCAAAAACATATAGTTTTGAAATTATGGAAAATTTAGAAAAATGTGCCACAAAAGCAGCAGCTGCCTTTCACTCGTCACTTGGAGACTCCAATGTACATTCTAAGCCTTATCTGACAGCATCTTTACCGTTCCTTGCACAATGCCTACATTTCAGCTCACATATCTATATTTATCATTGCTGTCTTTCAAATGTAAATCCATTACTCGATGGAAAGAGTATCAATAAAAAGGAAAAAAAGAGGCTCTACAGATATTTTTTAACAGAGGTAAGAAAATATTTCATTTTCAGTAGTGATATAACCAATAGAAAGTATATTTTCTATGACCAACCTGAAGAAAACGCAATATGTGTAAGTCCCTTGTGTTGAAAAGCTAATCAACTGTGTTACCTTAAGCTTCTTCAAAAACCTCATGAGCCCCCAGAAACAGTGGACTTCATACCTCCCTCTTCTTTTTGTTTCTTATGTATATTATATTTCAATAAAATGTTTATTTTTAAAGTTATTTTCAATGATACAGTTCTGCAGGACTGGAGGGAACAAAAATTTTACACATGTTCTCTCTCACACACACACAGAGAAATTTCTGAAGACCTGTTAAAGGACAGGTTAAAAGTAGATTTACCATTACACAATAAAATAAAATGTCTCTATAACATTTTTACAATCTTGTTGAACTCAGTCAAAACTTCTCCAAAATTGAACACATTTGTTTTCTGATTTTGTTTCAGATTCGTATTGAATTTACTGGTTATACTCAGCTGGTTAAGAACATTGCTGATAGGTTCATAATGATCAAATTCAATGTAGTTTCTTCTTGTTTTCACAGGCTAAAAAGTCTCACCATCACTATTTCAGTCTTGACTCCAGAAGATTAGGTACTCAGTTTTGTAGTCTGCATCTGGCACCTGTTCTCTGAGTTGTCAAAGGCTAAAATTTGCTATTTGGGTTTCCTTTTCTACAGATAGTTGCATTACCTCCTAAGTTCCTAAACAACATAGGGAGTTAAGCACTCGATTAATCTGAAAAACTTCCTTTGGGGCCTATCCAAATCCACCTCAATAGCGTTAGAATTGAATGCTTTGCCAGAAGATTTAGCTAATTGACTGATTAGTAGCTGTTGTTATTGTTGTTGTCCCTATAAATGATTATTAGTAAGTGAATTCTTCACATAGAGAGGAAGGAGAGAGAGAAAAGAGGGACAATTTTAGCAGACGGCAGAGATAGTCCTGCAGACTGTCTGATGTCAAGTCCAAACATGTTTATTATCAAGAGACGTGGTAAGGATCTTGGAAGGTACTCTATGCTGGTAAGATGACAATGGAATGCTTATTCTTAAGAGACATATATAAGATGAACATTATTCAGAAGAAAACTATGAAAGTAGAGAGGAAACTTAAAGATATGTTATTTCTGGAACAAGAAAAAATATTAAATACTTAATCCAAAAGTAAAAAAGAAATACAGTGATATAGTTGTCCAATCTTTCAAACGTTTGAAGACATCAAAGTTTACAGGATTGAAGAATTAAAAAAAAGAGCTAACATACATGTGTTGCTGCAATTGGCTGCTCTTAGAGACCTGTTAGTTCAGTTCTCCATTTCTGCTTGTTCGCTTGCTTCTAGTGTTAAGGGATAAGGAATTCAAGAAGGTGACTACAGAAAGAGCGAAGTTCTGCAGTAGGGCAAACTTGACTCATTCCCCTCTTCAGCCATGACTTTATCAATCCTTAGGAACCACTAAAAAGGGTGATGGAGATAACACTGGGTTAACATAAAGCCCTGAGATATTGTTAAATGTTTATGTATTCCTCATCCTGCACAGGACGGACAGTGGTGTAATGGGAAGCATTTGCTACACACTACACACTGTTTTTCTATTTCCCTGTAGATACAGTGGAAGCAGTTTTTGATTTCATCCAGAGAAGTCGAAGGATGATTGTTGTGCTGAGTCCAGACTATGTGACAGAGAAGAGCATCAGCATGCTGGAGTTTAAACTGGGTGTCATGTGCCAGAACTCCATTGCCACAAAGCTCATTGTGGTTGAGTATCGCCCCCTTGAGCATCCACACCCAGGTATCCTGCAGCTGAAGGACTCTGTGTCTTTCGTGAGCTGGAAAGGGGAAAAGTCCAAACACTCTGGTTCTAAATTCTGGAAAGCCTTGCGGTTGGCCCTTCCCCTCAGAAGCCTGAGTGCCAGTTCTGGCTGGAATGAGAGCTGCTCTTCCCAGTCTGACATCAGTGTGGATCACATTCAAAGAAGGAGAAGTCGTTTAAAAGAGCCCCCAGAGCCACAGAGCTCAGAGAGGACTGACAACGTTCCTCCCGCCACAGGCACAATGTCCAAGCACCGAGGGAAGCCCTCTGCAGCCTGTCGCTGCTGCGTCACCTACTGTGAAGGAGAAAGTCACCTTAGGAGCAAGAGCCGGGCAGAGATTCAGACCCAGCCCCAGTGGGAAACACACCTCTGTAAGCCTGTTCCCCAAGAGTCAGAAACTCAATGGATACAAAATGGCACGAGATTGGAACCCCCTGTTCCCCAGATCTCAGCCCTTGCTCTTCATCATTTCACGGATTTATCCAATAATAATGACTTTTATATCCTATAATGACTGATGTGTGGTGGGTGGTGGCTGCTCTTTCGACCAACCCTCTTTGTGTCATGAGCTTATGGGAATAACTTACGTTTTTATTGTCTAATGGACTACCAGGTTTGTGTCCCTCATATTGATTTTAAAAACTATTTATTTCTAGGAGTCAAAAGACCTGAAGCACCTGAGTCCAGAGTTTTTGCCTCTAATGGCCTCAGAAGAGAACACTCTTCTTGGGCCCTAGAAGGTCAGTATGTGAAAGTCATCTAAACGCTGATCCTCTGTATTGCCCAATGGTTTGAAACTGTGCTAACGGTTTGAATATCTCTGAGTTTGTCGATCAATCTCATGTTGAGAGCCAGTCAGGTATGCTTGGGCTAGGACACTAACAGAGTTTATTTCCCAAGGAGGTATCCTAGAGAGGAAAAGGTTCTGGTGGAGGCTGTAGTGCAAAGCTCATCAGGCGATCTACAGCCCATTCCCCCACGAAGAACCACATACATCCACCCAGGGACACGTGGTGTTCTCTGTCTCACTGTAAACAAATGTTCTCTAAGCTCCCTGACATTGTTAGCATTAATAAAGTTATATTTTTATGTCATTCCTTTTGTACTAATATGTTTGACCCCTCTCTCCCTTCTGATTTTCTGTGTTTATATTCAAATCTAAAAATATTGTATTTCAGGATATTGAAAATATAGTTGACGTTTCAGGATAGCTGAGTTAACTATTTAGTTTCCTTTGAACGTGTGTTAAGAAAAACCTGGGAATGGATCAAGAGTAAGAGAGTTTATCATAAAGTGAAAGTTTATCCAGAAATGTTTATTACTGGGAACTGGTGGCGCTTTGGGTGGAGACTGGTTCCTGAAAACCTTCCCATTCAGGAGTCTGAGGAATGAAAGTAGATACCTATAAGAATCAGAAGGTAAGCAAAAACACAAAAAACCAGAAAGAGTCACATACAAACATAACATACATGTTTATTTAGGAACAGTGTGCAAGCATTGGTAAGTATTGCTTTCCTACAAATGTTTTCGCAAAATTACAAAAGGCCCATGGCGTTTGATTTGAAGTCAAGGATGCAATAAGGATCATTGGGTTAATACTTAACTGAAGTAACTGCACATGCTTAGAATCTTCAAAGGTTTCAGGCAAAATGTATATTATGAAAAACAATGCGTTGAACTTCAAATTTTCATCCACCAAAATAAATGTATCTTCAATTGCATTTTTTCATGATCTTCTTGAAGTATTTTCATGTATGATAGAAAAGATGGCTTTTCTAAGCTCCATTTTGCTTTTGCTACTGATGTAGCACCTATGTTGCCAGATTTCCCAGCCTTTTCCACAACCCCTAAAAATCCAGGATTTTATGCATGCTCTGAGTTATGGAATGGCTTAAACTTAGAAGCACAAAAGCAAAACAAAGTCCTGGCATGGCAGCCTAATGGCTAAAGTCTTCACCTTGAACATGCCTGGATCCAAAATGGGCGCCAGTTCTAGTCCCGGTAGCTGCACTTGCCATCCAGCTCCATGCATGGTGCCTGGGAAAGCAGTCAAAGACAGCCCAAAGCCTTGGGACCCTTTCCCCATGTAGGAGACCCAGAAGAGACTCTGGGCTCCTGGTTTTGGATTGGCTTAGCTCCAGCCATTGTGGCCTCTTGGGGAGTGAATCAACAGATGGAAGATCTTCCTGTCTGTCTCTCCTCCTCTCTGTATATCTGACTTTACAATAAAATCAATCTTTAAAAAAAAGCAAAAAAAAAAAAAAACAAATAGCAATGCATAGCCAAGGGAAACACATTTGTGAAACGTAGTCATTCTAAGGGCCAATATTAGACTATTATTGCAGAAGTGTAGTATTTAACCAAAAGAACACATGCCCAACTGAAGAAGCAGGTGTTCCTGGAAACACTGGAACTGGCAAGAAACCACCGTGGGCCTGAAGACATGATGGGAAATGTTTATTTCCTCCCCGGATTGAAGACATCTGATATTACTTAACTCTGCTTCAGGGGGTAAAAAGCCAACAAGCAGTGTGTTTCAATCTTCTCTGTGGTAATTCCCCATCTATTGCATTTGCTTTGAAATAATTCAAAGCATAAAACCTCTGCTTCTGAATAGGTGCAGATTTAAGGGAAAAAGAGATTGGTCGGAGCATGAGTGCTCCCCTTCACTCTATTGGCATTGGTGGAGAGTGAGGCATGCAGGTGGCTATGAGTGCAGGGCTCTGTCAAGCACTAACAGTGAATGGGTCGTGTGAAAACAGCGTTATCCCATTATACCTCATGAAGAAGGAAACAGGAGAAGGCAGAAAATGTCTCTGCAAATGAGATAAGAGCCCATTATAAATTTGTAATAAGGACATGACAAGTCACAACAGGCCACTTACTTGAGTAGCCTACGAAGATGACAGCAGCACAATCCACCACGTTGCTCCACGTTGACATCTCTTCCTTAGAGAAGCAGTCTACTCTTGATGTACGCTCAAGAATTTTACTTTGGAAAGAATGTCAGTTATGTAAATGGTTCCAAATTTTAAGGAAGGGAAAAATGTTTTCAACCATAATTACTCTTATTGGTTATTAACTTGATGTCTTAAACTGTAAGATACTCTTAGAAATACTGAGAAATCACTTTCACCTTTGCTAAATATTTTGTTAGGAAATGCTGGCACAGGCCTGGAAATTAAACACAAGCCCTCACTATGAATCATTTTGGTCAATACAAAACATAAGCTCAATATTAATTTCCTGATATACATAGTATAAACCGTAAAAAGATGTAAAATTTTACACTAGCTTAATAGGGTCTAAGTAATTGGTGGTACTTTTACTGCATGGAGAAAGGCTTAGAGTTGATGTAATTCTATGATAAGCATACCACATTTGAATGAGGTCTTTGATGTCACATACTTCAATGAGGCAAATTTTAAGAAAGGAGATTTTCTCATGGGCCATAAATGTCTATGATCAAAATGATACAATCACTTCAGTGGCTTTCCTGATGACATGCAGCCAATTGGCAAAAGAGTTGAACCTCTAATCCATCTTTTCAATAATTGATTCAGTACCAATTCTAGAAACATCCTTGTAAGACTCAAGTGTATGTATTTTTATTATAAAATATCAAAATGGAACTATTTCACCAGAAGCATGTTACAGTTTTAAAAGCAGGCAACATAATCCCCACAACGCAAATTCAACACTGTTTTCTGATGCATCATTTGACCTTCTTAATTTATATTATTATATATCTTTATTTTTCAATATTTTATGTTTTTGAAATTTATAGTCATTTCTGATGTTCTACAGGCTATAATTTTATTAAAATGCTAGATCTGGTGAGTACAAGAGCTACCTTCTCTTCTATTTAAAATTGCTATTAGTATATTCATGTCAAGATTGAAGAATAGAGGTACATGGGAAAACTAATATTCTATCTCATAAAAAATGCTCCATAAAATTGAATCAATTATAAGCATAAACTCAGAGGGACAAACAAATCATAGAGTAATGATTTAGAAATTGGCACATGTAGGAATCATTTTGGGGGCAAAAATCTAAGAATAGGCTCCATTCCAATTCAGCAGGAGCTGAGCATTGTCTAGGAGTTAACATTTTCAAATTGTGCCTTGGGAATTTAAGTTAACTCTTTAAAAACCTTTTCATGTCTTATAAATTGCTGTTCATGTTGTAAGGGAGGAACTTCTTAATTGGTATTTTCTAAGCTTTACAAAGTATATTTCTTGATACAAACATATTGGAATCCTTTGCGGTACATAGTAAGATGGCTGTTTTCAGACTTTTTGAAGTTAACTAAACGAGGATCTTTAAGATGAGGTGGATTTGCACTATGAATTGGCTTTTCTAGTGATTCTAATGTACAAAAGTTTAAGAGGCATGGACTGTTGCCTGCTTTTAATTCTTTGTGGACTTTGGTTTTCTTCAGTCAAGGAAGACTGTGAGTTATCATTTTAACAAAGTGTATACAGGCAATAGATGAAAGCAAAATTTTAGCTCTTGGAACTGTTTTGGCTTAGGAGACAATTGTACAGAGTGGTTAGTAGAGTTTATATGTAATATAAGCATTGTCACACTGATGTTAAGACTCTGTTTGGAAAGCTGTAGTCATAAAATATATCAGACAGAAGACAGCTTACAAAAATTAATTATGGTGTGTTGAAAAAATAAACTCAATATTCCAGTGGTTCCAAGTAACCAAGTCTTATTTCTTGTTTATAGCACATGTCCAGCACAGATACTTATTCTTTGTAGTTTTCCATAGAACTGTGTCACTGCTTTCTGTTTTTACGCTTCAGTTTAAGTTTGACAACCATTTCTTTCATCTAAAATTTATTCGCTAGTATGACTCCAAGATCCTGACACAGTCACAGAAAAGGCTAGAAAATACAGTCTTTCTATTTCCGTGGGAGGAACAAAACACATAGCGTTGTCTTTTGCTACTAATGAGATCACTTAAGAAGGCAGATGTATTCCAACTGAGAGATGACCTAACCATTTGTGATGAAGGTTTAGAAGGAATTTGCCCCAACACACCATTTTTGTTCGCCAAGGTTGCAAGATAAGACAACACTCATAGATGATTAGATTTTGTCTGAAAATGTTACCCAAATAAGTTTTTGAAGGAATGTGTGATAATTACAGGTTCTCATTCAGAAGAATCATGCCTAAAATTTTGAAAGTTATTGTATTTTGTTTTTACACTCAGCAGCTTTATTATTGCTCAAAGGCAGTGGTCCTCAAACTCTGTAAATGAACCCATTTTAATTTGAGTATCCAGGGAGCCTCAGAAGAACTGAGGACACTTAGAAAACAGCAGAGCATATAACGTGATCATTAGAAAGCATTGCTTGATTAACTTAGCAGAAGAGCTAAACAGGAAATTTGAAGAGAACTTACTAAAGCTCGTATGAATCACTAGGCAGTTGCTACTGTGGGTATTATGAACTCCACTGCTACCCGTGCCTCTTCTGTCACAATGAATTAAACTCCGTTGGGGTTGTTGACTTTAGTTTGGTGAAAGGTAGGGTTAGTTACTCTTGAGTTCTGTTAGAGTATAATTGTAAACAAGGAAAAGTTTTATTTATTGTTGCAGGTTTATGACACATTCAAAATTCTTAGAAACATTAGTGAAATTTTTTTCTTTAGGCAGTTTATTCATCTGCAAATACTTCAATGGGAAGAATGACTCCTTGAAAAGGTGTTCAAAGAAAGGAAACAGAGAGATTCCAAGTCGACACTGAAGTTGAATCTTGAGCTGCTTGAATCTTTTTTTTTATTTAACATTAAATTTATTTATTTAATTATTTTACGATATAGTTCCATAGGCGGTGGGATTTCTTTTACCCTGTGCCCAAATCCCCTCCCCCAGACTGATTTCTTTTATAATATTACAATAGCATATTCCTTCATAAATAGTCACAAGTGTACTATTCTGCTAATTAAGTGTATTCTGACATTGTAAGTGTGAAAAATGGCATAGAGTCAGAGCTGCTTGAATCTTAACAATAGGGCTTTCTTTTCTAGCTAGGACTTTTTTTTTTGCAGGGGAAAGGTCTGGTGAGAATGTGTACAATGAGAAAGAGTTCTACTCTGTGCACTCCAGTCCCTCTCTCTACCTCCCTCTCCTCATTCTTGCTCTTGCTCTCATTCCCTGAGTCTGTGGCTCTATCGTAGTCCACAGAAATGAAACAGTCTCCAGAAATCTGAGAGGATCACAATGTCGGACTGAATACTTCATATTAAATTGGAAACTATTGTGTTACCTCAGCCAGTGGAATCTGGAGAGATTTCATCGTGATTACAGTGGCAAGATTGAAAGCAATACAGAACTGTGGAACAATTAAAACCACTTGAGCAGCACCCTTGAGCATGCCCCACATCGGGTCCCTGGGTTGGGTGGGAGGCTGGGTGTGCCTTCTCCATTTATCTCTCCTCTCTCCCCAGATTCAGGAAGGAAAAGGAGAATGTCAAAACGATGGTCTCACCCACTTTCCTCCAGCCGCTGATCCTTCACACCGTAATCAAATATGTAAAAATGAATAAAAATAAAATTTACACAGTCAAAAAAAGATAGAAACCATTTTGTTACCTCTAGAGAGGCAGAATGTGATGATTCCAAAACACAGCAACCAGAAAGGGAAGGAATGAGCAGAATACCGGAATCCTTGAGGGTCTCACCTCACCTGTGAACGGCAACGGTTAATTGTTAATATTCTTTGCAGTGCAGACTTTAAGGCCCTCGAAAATGGGTGAACTTAAGTTGATGATCAGATGGGAGGTTTTATTTTATGGAATACTTAAATAATCACATTACTTACACATAGACACACACACGAACAAATACATGCAAACGCCAATTTTGGGTGTCTAGTGAAATCAGAAAGAATATTTTAAAGCGTGAGGAT